GTCAGTTGGTCGTCAGAGCATGAACCACCGTGCATCTGATGCTTTTTCGCAGATGGTGACACTTGGATGGGGGGTGACACGTCCCCACGTCCCACGTGTGAAACCACGCGTCTCGGTCCATTGGTCCATGAGGTGGTCACCTATAACTCGGTGATCGCTGCCTGCGAGCGAGCTTGGAAATGGACTACGGCCTTGCACCTGTTCACCGTGATGCGCAAGGACCGTGATGCGTATGAGGTCTTTCAACTCCTGGTGTGACCGGGGTATATGATTGTATCTGTTTTTCGGTGATTTTTCCGCTTATGGTTGCATTGCAAGAATTCGTGTCGCGGCAGAAAAACACCAAAGTTTAACCCAAGTCTCTCCGAGAGTCTCTCCAAGTCTTGCTGAGGTTCGATCCTTGCCTCGTCAAATCGAGACAGATTTCACCGTAAAAGACGAGAAATTACGAAATGATGTGATGGTCAGGTCGTTGGAATAAGAGGCAGAGAGGGTTGGAAGTTGGAAACAGACTGGACAAGTTCCCAAATAATTCAAAGGACACATCAGCGGCAAAAGAACTATAAAGACGCCTCAAGGATCCTCAAATTGTGCATTCAAGTGGTTTGTCACACTGCAGCCAGGGACATTCTTCCAAGACAGTATCATTTTTAGAAAGAAGTCTTCTTAGACGGCTCTGAAATTCTCGTCTCTTTGCGAAAGGACACTCACACAGAGACATACGAGGACTTAATGTTAAACAATCAAGTTTAAGAGATAGAGTGGGATGTAGAGTGCTGGAGGGCATCGAAAAGAAGAAGAACAGCAGGTGAAACAAAGAAAAGAACGGGATCAACCAAAAAGTGATCTGGTCTCCTCTGGTCTCCTTTGGTCCCGGAAGGTCCCTTGCGGTACTCCGTTGGCCGAGCGAGCGAGCCGAAATGCCCGTGTGGGAAGCGCACCGCAACGGGCGGGCCAGGTGCGGTGCGGTGCTGTGTAGCGCAGATGATCTATTTGGCCGTCTGGATGTCGGCTTTGGAGTTGGCTTCGTGACTTTGAGGGTCGGCGCTTCTAAACCCCTCCAAACCCCTCCGCCACGACATCACTTCTGTGTGTTGCAGTCAGGGCCGCCGAACGTGTCCACTAGGTCTCGGTGCTTGGAACGTGCGCCGAACGCCGTGACACTGGGGAGTCTGTCTGGTGCCGTGCGGAACCTGACGAATCTTTGGGTGCCGCTGTGGAGATACGGGAGGGCGACGTGACCCGAAGCGCATTGGTCCCAACAACAGAACGCAGCGCATGGTCTCCAGCGCCCCAAAACTCCACGTTCGGAACCAGAAGGAACGCTGGGCTGGGTGAAGCTCAATGCTGTGATCGGTGCTGTGATCAGACTTCCAGGTTGGAAATCTCTGACTGGTGCGACTCGTAGGGAATAAGGGAAGTTTCGCCCCCAATAGAGATTGTATTGGATCCAGCCACCCTCATTCCCTGCTGAAAGTCGCACCAGTTAGAATCTGGGAGCTCAGAAAGCTGTTGTGACGGACCGAATCGGACGATCACCGCTGCGCGACATGGAAGGCCGCCTTCCAACGGCTTCAGGTGCTTCCAGCTGTCTTCGGTGCGTCGTGACAGGCCCCCTGGAGTCGGTCGACCCAACGAGACCGAGCGATGTCTGCACAACAAGCGTCCGATCTTCCCTGCTGTGTGACATCTCAGTTCTCGTCGATGAATCGACTTCCGGTCTCGCTGCTTTTTGATGAGGCGTTCTCACCGTCAACGTCAACGGAAATGTGTCCGGACGTTCGTAGTGAGCGAAGTGTGAGTAAAGTCTTGGCGCGCTGAGCATTCATTTGCACTTCCGACAGGTACCATGCAATGTCTTGGAAATCTGCTACTTTCAGCTCAAGATACCTGATGCTTAAGGGCAAAGATGTCAGAAAGGCATGCCTAGCCTTAGTTCAACTCCAGGTTTTCTCATCTGGCAAGCTCATAAGCAAAGGGACTTCCTTCTTCGACAATGTCTAAAACTCTGCGTTGTGGATAGCCCAATCATGACGATACAAGTACCAGCTTCTGTGAGCGAGTTGCCCTTTGTGAGGCGAAGTAGAACTTGCCTTTGTTGGTATCAATGTTGTACCGGCCGGATTCCGGATGTCTAGCGACGGAAGAATCATCAAGATCCCATTGCCTTTGTACGCCCAAAGTCCAAGATGGCAATTGTTGGTGGAACTGGTTCTCAGTCATATACAGTAATGCCTTTCGGCTCACCATCGCAGCCCATAAGCGAAGAGTATCCTTGAGTAGGTGTGAGTTTTCCTCCAACAAACTCCAACAAAGAGTTCCTCACACAGGGATTGTCTCAGAATCACATACTGTGCTTGTGCATGGGTGTTTCTTCACTTCGAGCAAACACCTTTAAACACCAAACACTTTCCTGACAACAGTTCTAAAAGCATGTCAAGGAAACATACCAGGAGCTCATATGAATTTGATGGGAGAACATGTGTTTGATGGGAAAATGACACTTGTGATCAGCAGGTCCTGGCTCCAGAGGCCACTTTTGTTGCTAGGCATTGCCATCTTAGGATTCCCCCTAGGAAAAGAGCAAGGGTTCTTGGCAGGACTTCTTTGCCAATGGGATAGGTGCACCCCCCAGAATCGGGAAAATGTCAGGTGTCACGTGAGGTGTCGTGTGGGTCCGATTGGTGGTCGGATTTGGTGGAACAGACATGTGGAATACCAAATGTGCAAGGTTTTTCTGGTGGAATGATGCAGTTCCAAAGCGATGAACACGAAAAAGTTGGAGTGGCAGAGGCGCATCATGGCTGACAGCTCACTCTGAGTAAAAAAGACAAGTTCATCTTTGTTTGACAGGGAACACCTCGATTTGACTGGGCAATTTGAGGGTTTTTGATGGGATTTGGTTGGTTCTCTTGGGAGTATGTTGCTTTCTGGATTTTGTGTGTCAGTTGTAAAGCGGTGCTCTATCGCACTATGAGACTCGGTTCCTGGGTCTAAGACCTGATTGGTGAAGACAGGAAGGGCTGGTTGTGTTTGATAGCTGCGGTGATTTGCATAGTTGGTATTGGATTTGCCGTCTCCTTTGTCTTCATATCCTTTTCCTTTTCATTTCGTTCAATGTCTCATTCCTTTCCCTTACCCTTTGTTGAAGTTCTCCCAAATTCATGGCCTGTCATCTGCACGGATTGCAACTTAATGCTCATCAGCACCTATTGCTCATCAGCAATTCTCTTTTGCTTTTCCTTTGCTTCTGAAACATCCGCAGCCTGACCTAACTGTTCCTTTTCAACTGATTTTTTGTTGAGCAGAACATCTCAATGAATACTGTGGGAGAACAAACGCTGTATCTTGTTGCAAGATGCGTCCACGAGGCTCGTCACTGACCATCTAACCATGCCACCAACCATATCGCAATTGGTCAAGTCATTTTGAGTCTGAAGAGTTCATGTCACCTGCGTGATGATCTGAATCCTTTCAGGACCTGGAGCTGCGCCGTTCATCATTGTGCTTGCTTGTGAAGAAACTGCTGTGCTTGTGGATGCACTTGCGTTGCAAGATCTAAAGTATCCATCCGACTAAGTCTAAGTGTGTGGAACAGGATTTGAAGTCTAGTCATCCATTTCATCATGCGTGCAGAACCTCTTGAACTTCATGAACTGCAATATGTTGTAAAGGAATACGCTGGTTGCATCTTTCACGAAGTAGGGCCTCAACTTGCTTTTGAAGCACTGCACTCCTGGAGGATCATGCGATTTCAGCATTCTCTGTCTAGAAGTCTCTTGTATACTGCTGCTTCTCCTTATATTATACATCTTTTATAATATGTTTCTCAATGCTGGTCCCCTTTTCTCTTCTTCTAATTCTGTAATGTCACAGCAATTGTCTTTGGCATCCTCATAGGAAAACCACGATAACTTTGTTCGTCAGTTGTGTCGTCATAGCTATTGCTGCTGGCTGTTGGCTCTCTTCTCATATGCCTATTGGCAAAGACTTGTGGCTCATAAACCAAATCCGTATCAGGTTCTCAGTCCATTGCGCAATCTAACTCTGAAAACTAACCTAGGATCTATCTGGAGCTCACCTGGGTCTTCTAGGATTACCACTCAAAGAGTGATTCCCGCGTGTGCTCTATGCAGCGCAGGCTAGCAGTGTGTTTTGTGGGGGGCAAGTGTCCGTCCTTGAGCCTTGAGGAAGCCGGATGCTTATAGCCACTACCAGGGGCCCTCAAAACCATGAAAAATACAGGTTTTCACATACAAGAACTTGTTTTTTGCTAGGAAAACCCAAGTTTTTGATGGGCCATGTCGGGCCCCTGGTACTGTGTAGAGGGAGGGTGCTACTTTTGACTTATAGTCTGTTTGCCCAGCTCTTTCAGGGAAGCCCATAGACATGACATCATGCCCGTGCTTTCTCACATGGGTTTGCTTTCTCACATTATATATGCAAACGTGCTCAGAAGTACACTAGCCCACGAACCTTTGCGTTGTTGTGGGGGGTGCTTCCCGAATATGCTGTCTTGAAGCACGAGTGCCCAACGAATGGCCTCCCTCTGAAAGCCTGCGCCAATTTCCCAAGCTGCTTGGGACCCACCCAAACCAACCTGTTTGAAAAGCCATTGGCTTTCACCCACGTCGGTCCCGATCGGTGTTCGGGTGTTTTGAGGTGCGTTCTTGTTCGGTGCTGATTTGGAGGGTCGTGCTGGTCGACCGACTGGTGTCTTTCTCGTTTTGCCGAGGAATCCGCGTCTCTTCGGTCTCCTTGTGTGGTACCTTCGGCCCAAGGAGAACGCGACAGCGACAAAGGCCGCCCGACAGTGGAGTACATCAAGACGTGAATGTTAGATTGGAACAGGTTGAAAAGAACCAATTCATGTGTGCCTTTTGAAGACCACCCAGAATCCAAGGCAAGAGCTGACAACCATGGAGTAACCTCCTCAAAGCATTGCAATTCAGCCGTCGGGGTGTTGCTTCCGTTCCTTTGTGCCATGGAGAGCTGTGGCAATGCGTGCAGCTGGACACTTTGTGGAGAGTGGCCGCGGCCAAGCTCGCTTGGACCAGGCCTGGTTGTGGACTCCACCATCAGCCTTTAACATCCTCTCATCATCAGTTGAGAAAGAGGGGGACGCGTTTGGGAGAAGGGAAAGCCATGGTCTTGCAATCTTGCCTTTTTCGGTCCTGAAAATACCGTCCTGTGCCAGGTTTGTGCAAAGAACCAAGATCGAATTGCATCCGGGAAGAATTTCTGGGCAACCTTCATCTTTTATCTCTCGAAGAGCGAGAACCACTCTGGATCTATTTTGCGGGTGATTCCACAGGCCGCCAACTGTGGGCTGCCTTTCTGAAAGATGTGGCGAACATCAACCTTGGCAACACTAAGGATGCGGTCAGGAAGCTAGTCGACGAGTGCCCCAAAGCCCCAGTACCGGACAAGGCTTTCCAGAGATTTGTCAATGCCCACACAAGGAGAGCAGGTCTAAAGTATCCCAAATGGGAAGGGGTGGGGGGTCACGCTTGCGATTGGAATGCCACCCTGCATGGCCAAGACCGACCGGTGCGTGTCACCTTTGACTTTCGCCGCTTCCTCCACGACCCCAGCAATGATTTACATGTGTTGCAAGAGGTGGCAGATGCAGGAAGATGGCCTACAGCCTGGTTAGTCATTTCTGGTGTGCATGATTGTATGTTCCTCCGACGGAACTTGACCTATCATACTTCCTCCGTGAAGGCCTTTTTCCGGTTCCTGGAGCAGCACTCCATCTTGAAGAGCCGCACGATTCTCGTGGGCATGGAGTACATGGTGGACCAGCGCGAGACCCCAAAGGGACGAAGCAAACGCTTCAGAAGCTACAGCTCTTCTCCGAAATCCTTGTACAACTGTTCGTTAAGACTCCACCGGATGATGCTCCAAGAGGCCCGACAAAACGGAGTTTACGTGATCCCACGTTGGGAACTTACACGGAACTATGCGGAGAAAGAAGTCTACGATATGCATTATCCGGAATCAGTCATTCTAAGTGAGTTGCCACCACTACTGACAGGTCTCTCTTGCATTGCCAAAGACAGGCAACATGTTTTCACCTCGTCCTTGATCACGACACCGTCGCTCGGGGGTTCACTGCTTCTCCTTTACTTCCTCACGACTGTCGCAGCAGCAGTTGGTGCGCTGGTCTTCGTGCACCGCGGCAGGATTTGGCGAGTGCGGACAGGTCCGGATCTCGGTGCGGCAGAGCTTCAAGATGAGGACTAGCCGGCTCGTAGAATCTTAGCACTCTTCGCCATAGAAATTGGTTTGCCAATGCCGCTTTCGGAGGACTGGGAGGCCTCATGTTTCACCCCGCTTTCACCCTGCTCTGCGAGCGCTTTCCATGGAGAGCAGAACATCGGTGTCTCTGCGCGCGGAGGGGGGTTCAGCCAGCTGTGGCAGGAGTCACAGCTGGCGGATGTTGCGAGTTGAAGCGGGTTTCTGGCGCCAGGAGCGCTTGAAGGTCAGCAGCATCAGCTGCAACAGCTTGCTGAGCGCTTTCGAGAAGGGCACCCAGTGGACGAAAGCTTTAGCCCTACTGCAGCAGATGGGCCGCTGGCGCTTGCAGACACAGGCAGGGTTTTAGTTTGGCTGTTTGGGGAAATCCTAAGGCAAAAGCAATTCGAGTGAAGCATCAAGACATGGATTCCAAGGATGAACTCAGGATATCTCGATTCAATCCTTTAGGTGCTGGTGTCCTTTGTGTCCAGAAGGTGAAGGTCTCTTGATAACTTGCCATTTTGCAGGTCTCTCTCTGCGCGGTGGCCAGCGCATGTGAAAAGTCTTGGCAGTGGAGAAGGGCGCTCCTCCATCTGGTTGGGGCACCTGATGCTGTCTCATACAGCGTGTGGCGTGGCTGCGAAGGATTGTGGGGTCAGGGCCAGGCCTTGTTCTTTCGCGTCCAAAACCTCTCGTCAAGAGTCTCCTGGCTCCACGGGTGGATGTGTCATACGGCAGCGCTAGCTTTGAAGTCACTTGTTTTTAGATTCCTTGACCATCCTGCTGCTGCTGCTGCTGCTGCTGCTCGATTCTTTCCCTGAGGCATGTCATTTTGTGTTTTGTTTGCGATTCTCAGGTCAATCAATGCATGTGAGAAGCTTGGCAGACTCTAGACCTGTCCAATGACTAATCCAATCAATGGCAAACAACTGCTGGGGATGGGGATGTGCTCAATCCATATGGGGAACACCCAAAACTGCAATTTTTCTGCCGTCGTGGGTTGTGGGGTCCCTTCGAGAGGAAGATCGACGGAAGTCGAGATCGAACTTAGGTGATGGTTTCGGATATTTTTTCTTTTCGACCCTTACTTGGGGATGATTGGGTTGAAAATGGACCCTCTGACTCCTATGTTTCAAGTGGGTTGAAAACACAAACCAGAGATTCGAAGTTCGATGCGAACAGACCATCGATGTCGAGGAAGGGACTCGCCTGGCAGTTGGCCATGGTCTTCCTCATGGCCTCCAGGCGTATTTTTCGGCGGCGGGACGCGTCCCCTTCCCTTGGCGGGAGGTAGGTTCTGTGTCTTTTTGTTTTGTTGAGGATTATACATTATACCGAATTATACCTGAGTGACTCCTGTTTTAATTTTGGAGCCTAAAACATGGTCTATTCCTATCCAAAACAGAGGCCGGCCCGACGGGAAAGTCGATGAACATCACAAAGGCCACAAGGGATCACAAGATCGGTTCACACCTCAGATTCTGTAGATTCACCTTGTTGCTGGGAGACTTCCACCGACGGATGTTCCCGGTTCCCTTCTCACACCTCCTTTTTTTTTCACCGCGCCTATTAATGTTGAGTCCAAACAATCATAGATTTCAAGTTGGTCCACCTCAGCTGAACGCGCTAATCCCCCAAACCACCGTCACCGGAGAAGACCTCGCGAAATCGCAGCCCGCGAGAACACCTTCGTCCCGAGGCGACAAGAACTGGCGGACCGGCCCGGCTTTGGAGCTGCTCTGGGGGCACTCGAGAAGGCCACTGAAACACCCATAACGGGGGATGCCCCGCCCCCTTGGGGCGGGAAGCTGCGAAATCTACGAAATCCAGACTCGAGACACGTTGGCACCGGAACGGAGGACGTGTTCTGTTTTTCGGTGAGTTCTCCGTTGCGCGCTTTCCCAAACCCTTCGAACGCTAGCCGCGAAACCCAGCGAAACCAGCGGTAGACTGAACAGGTACTGCGCAACAATTCACTTTCTGACAAACCGAAATACCTCCATCAGTAGACTCGGACTGTTACCTTCGACTGGGAGCGCCAACTGCGTGTGGCCAGCTTGCAAGGCATCACAATGGCAGCATGCGATCTCAATCCTGAAAGAGATGAGGTGCCCAGATGCAGAGTGCTCCAATGCGGCCGCGTCCAGTTTCCTTCAAAAGTTCTCAATTTTGGTGGCACGTGATTGAGCTAGTGGGTGAACAATCGAAAGGTTGTCCTCACACGGCCTATTGGAACGCCTCGATCGGTTTCTAGCGGAGAGAGGGTTGTTTGTTGGTGATGCTGCGATGCTCCAGAATTATTATATTATAATTATGTAACACTGTAGTAGCTCTTTTGGATTCTTCTTTGGAAGGATCAACATCAACTCAACAATCAGGATAGAATTTGGACCACATATCTTTTGACAGTGTCCAAACACGGGGCTGGCAGCCCAACCCCACAAATACAGGTTTTGGATGGTTTTGGTATTGCACCTGGTTCTTGTCCGAGTCAAATCCCGAACGGGGTTACAGCACGAGAGGCTCAATGCAGTAACAAGATCTGAGACATCCCTCCCTTGGCAGGGCCTCAGACTTGCGCATGGGGACTTAGCAAGGGTCCGTCACTGGCACAGCTGGGCTTGACTGTTTAGTTCAGTGAATGCTTCGGCCTGGGGTTGTTTTCATCTTTCTTGGGAATTCCATAGTTTGAACTGACCCCAGGTACAGCTGTGAACATGGAATTCCAGGAAAGAATTGCCAAGGAAAGATGGAGGGAAGTGGAGGAAACCCTCCATCCTATGTCCCATGGAGGTCTTGGAGGTCTTCCACATCTAGGAGACCTCTATGACCGTGCATAGGACTAGTGTTTTCAAACCACCCACCGGTGTAAGCCCTTCTCGCGTTTTCTTTGAGGGGGGAGCTCTACACGTCAGTGGAAGAACACATCATCCTTCCAGATCAAATCTTAGACACGACGAGTCTGCCGATTCGGACTGCCTTCCAAACGGGCGTTCGGGGTGGTTGACTGGGGGTCTGTCTTGGCCGGCAGTCCTATGGCAGTGCCAGACTCCTCGTGTCCTGGAATCTTAGTGTACAGGCAGCCCCAAGTCCTTCAACCCGGGTTCGCCCGTTTCTCCTGGTTGGTTGACCTCCGCAGAGAAAATTCGCTTCATGTCAAGCGGGATCCCCCAGTTTTGGCACAGCCATTGTTTATTTGTTTCCTTTCTACGACCCAGGTTCTATAGGCACACAACTAACAACTGTATACTCACACCCTAGGATTCCATCCACATGAATTTGATGTCCTTTACGGTCTGGGTCAAGAGGCGATTGCAGGCAATGCCCATCTCTCGGTTGGTCGGTTCCGGGACCGAGAATGGCTGAGGACATGAAGAGGAGTGTAAGAAAGCAACCCCTTCTGAACTAGCAAGAGTAGCTATACTATAGCCAGTTCAGAAGAGGTTCTAGTAGTGTACTATATAGCTATAGCTATAGTAGTATACATGGGAGCCGTTCGAAACCCCTTGTATAGAGTCAGGCTTTAGAGAGGACATGTCATAAAGATTGATCAGTTTTGGGCTGTTTTTACCTGGTAGGCGCAAGAAGGCGCAAGGGCGAGCGCAAGGTTTATATATATTATCTATATCTAGTACTAGTACTAGTACTTCTACTACTACTACTACTACTGCTGCTGCTGCTGCTGCTACGACGACTAGCACAACAACCACGACGACGACGACTACTAGTACTACAAGTACTAGTACTTCTACTACTACTATTGAATTACTGCTACTACTACTACTACTACTACTACTACTACTACTACTACAAGTACTACTACTAGTAGTAGTACTACTACTACAACTACTAGTAGTAGTACTACTACTACTACTTCTACTACTACTACTACTACTACTACTACTACCACTTTTACTACTACTACTACTGCTGCTGCTGCTGCTACTACTACTACTACTACCAACCCATCCAAAAGTAGTAGGCTGACTCCAACCCATCCAAACCCA